CTGACGTTTATTCCGTCATGCAACGCTGTACTGAAATGAATTTTATACCATTTTTTGGGGACAGATAGAGCTTTCTTTTGGTGGTATTTAATCACCGCTGGGGTTTTTATTTTTTACTATATAACAAAAAAGTACCCTAAATTTTGTAAAAAAAAAACATGTTTCCCTATAAAATGTTATGAAACATTTATTTTCACCCCAATTTTTTGGTATAATATAAAAGATGGGGTCACATCGGGTAAATAGACACTAAACATGTCAACCTTTAAAATTGCGCGCGCCCGCGAAATCGCAGAAAACAACCGCAACCAAAATTGGCCATAGGCGACACTTCAAACGTTTTTACCGCTCATCAGTTTAGTGTTATCAGTGATTGATGGCCCTAAAATTATTGCTCTCACTCCGACGTTCGCGGCGATATGTAACATGTGCTGCATAATAGGCGCAATTGTCGTTTTCGTACATAGGCGCACCCGACGCATGTTTGCATGTGTAAGTGGGGGGGGCGGAGGACTTTAAAACATTTTTTTTATGTAATTTTTTTTAATTATTATTTCTGAATATTTTTTTTGCTTCTTTATTTTTTTTAATGCTGTATTTTTTTTTTTTTTACTTTTTTTAGACAACTTTATTGCTATAACATAGGGGATTAAGAAATCCCCTATGTAATAGCCAGTTCACCAAACAGGTCCTCTTTATGGAGACATCAGGGGTCTCCAAGACCTCTGATGTCACCTAGGGACCCCCACAGAAACTGATGAAGCAGAGATCTGCTTCATCAGCTTCTCTCCGGTGTTCTGCACCAGAGAGTGAAACTGAATGCAGGAAGTGATGTAATATACTATATAGAGAGATCAAAGGGAAATATACTATATAGAGAGATCAAAGGGAAATCGAGTAATGATCTCCCTTTGATCTGCACTACCATTGAAAGCTAATCTCACACATCATGCAGAATGAGAATGGTGATGCAAAGTCCTAACAATAGTAAACCAGATGATAAAATGATATTGAGCTTAGCCACAGTCCACAACGACTACAAAATAGCCTTGCAGCTCTTCTCAAAAGCTGAAATTAGCCTTGCAGCTCTTCTCAAAAGCTCAGGACACTCTCAGCAACTTAAAAACAAAAGTATAGAAGAGTGCATCAGCATAATGTAGTAGTTCCATTTATAAAGAAATAGCAATTTAAAACAATTGCGCTCGTACAGTGCCCCAGCCTGAATTTTAACTGTACTCAAAGCTGCAGATGGGGATGTTTGTATCAACAATAGTCCCGATTTTGCCTTTGTTTAAGAATTATGTTGCCTGTACTGATGCAACTGTTTTACCGAATCCCTCTAGGGATGTCTATTTGTTACCATTGTTCTCTTCATGTTGTCAGTTTTTCTTTGAATTCTGTTCTGTATTTGAAAATTTTTAATAAACTCAGATTGTACTAAAACAATTGCACTCTCAAGTGTAGATCTTTATGTGGTGTGAAATGTGACAGATTATGCTGCAGATCCTGTCTCTAAAAGACCAGCTGGGGTGATCCATAGTTGGAGTAGAACCCGCGATGGAGATATTTGAACATGTTTCCAAGATGGAGGCGTCCATTCCTTCCATTTCCTCCTAGACATCGATCCAACTGACAACTCTAGCACATCTATCCACACAAGGTTACTATAGCTAGGGATGCGTTTCAGGGAATCTCATCCCCTTCAACAGCCTGCAAACAGTTAAGGTTTGTGTCCATTTATACCTTTCTCATTTTAATTTATGCAAATTAGAATGGAGTTAGTACAAAAGCAGGCTATAAAAATCATATACAGTATATACTGTACATATACTAACACTGTCTTCCCACACCTCGTAATTCCCACACTGCTCCCCCATCGTTCTTCATCCCATACTACTGTCACAGCGCAGACTAGTGTGTGAGCTGGCAGTCTGACACTGTATTCCCCAGCCACTGCCCCGGTTCTGACAGATTGGCTGGCAGTGTTGAACCTTTCTCCCACTTCTGTGGATACCGCACAAACCCAGCTAGAGCCGATCCCCGTCCCCCCACCACAGCAGATCATCCATCCGTCCCAACATCTGGGCAGTTACCTGATCTATGGAGAGAGCAGCCTGAGAAAATTCCTGAATGCTGTATTAAACCCCACCAGCAGCCACCAGCGGTACTGTGAGAATACAACACAGACTGGAGCTCCTGTAATGATTTGATAGTCCCCGCTTCAAGATTACTGCCGTGAGTGCTATTATTATTTTGTCATTCTTTACATCCTTTAAAGGATGAGACAATAATACAACCAAGCAGAATTGACCAAGTTCGATCATGCCTACTAGCTGTACATAGAAAAGTGATGTAGTAGTGGGTAGGATGGAAATGCATACACACAGAGACACCAGCAATCCATTACACAGGGCATCCTGGCACTTTTAGCTGAAAAGCCAGGATAACGGCAGCTAAAGAAGTAAGAAATAAATAGTTTTGTCCCCTCTCATCTTAAACAATCAGCTGATCCACCCCCTTCAATCTCTCAATGAGACCAACCATCCAGTTAAAGGAGTTACTGCACCCCCAGCAAACTGAGACACACAAATGACACATGATTATCCAGCAAGTTTGAAGATTAAGAGATACCCTTTATTGGATAATTTAAGTTATTATCAATACAAGCTTTTGTGCCTTAAATCCATTCTTCAGAAGAGAGTCCTGCTACCCACCATTTATACAGAGTTACAAGGAGGAGCAATTAAATATAATCTTTTAAATAATATAACTGACACTTTTGTTTTGAAACACTTGATCGGTTGAGGCTATTGTGAAGGGTTAGATTATGGGGAGATGGGGATCAGGGTTAGAAGTGTTATTAGGGTGATGGACCCAAAGATAAGATGTCCTCCCAGTGCACCAAGAAAAATAGTTATCTATTTCATTGCTTCACTGGTATATGAACATTTCAAAAGGACTCTCACTTCAGGCGAGGATTGTACCTGGACTAGTAATTTTGGAGTCAATTACCCCAAAGCCACTTCTGAACCTGGTCCCTATCTCTATAGCCTAGCCCTTCCCAATAGCCTTACAGTATTTAAATATTTATACGTCATTGTTCCTCCTTGTAACTATGTATAAATATGCAGGTTTCAGAACAATTTTCAGGAATATATAAAGCCTGAAGAAGGAATCTAAGCACCCCGAAAGCATGCATCTTTAATTACTTAAGGTGTAGTTCCACTTTTGCAGCCAAATTGGAATAACTATTGGAATTGGAATCTACTTTATATGTTCCTATTCACATTGCATAATTTAAAAAAATAAATGAAAAATTGCTGCTTGCCTTTTAAAGTACTATGCTTAAAAATCCTACCTAGATTCTCCCCGTGTAATGTTGAAGAGGGGGCTGGAGGGGAGGCTTATGTTTACTCTGACTAACCCTGTCTGTGCTGTACTGCAAGATTGCATTATCAGATGTAAACTAGATTTGATCACTGTCTGTGCTAACAAAGTGTTAAAGCCTTTAGAGGCAGTGTATAAGGAAGGAAGCTCAGTCTTATCCTCAGTCTGACACTATAGTTTTACTCTCAAACTGCTCAGAGTAGCTTGGAATATTCACAACAGTCTTCAACAAAGAAAAAGATAAAAGGTAAGAAATATGTTTGTTTTTTAAATATTTATTGGCATGATGTGTGAATAGTAACACAAAACAAACATAGTGTGGGGTTTTCTCAAATCTGACTGCAACAGTGCAACTACACTTTAAGTTGGCCAATAAACAAACTTCAAACTTTCTGCAGTTATCGATGGCTAGCATGTTACAATACTCTACAACGGTCATGTTTATCCAGTAAAACAGAAAGCCAGAAGCAGGAGAACATTTTGTCATACTATAGGGTAAAGGGGTAAAGGGAAGAAGCTTAAATTCTTTACCTCTTTGTTTATATATCCGTCTTTATTTATGTCATACAGATTAAAGGTCCACCTCAGCTTTTCATGAATTGTTCCTCTGAGCAAGACTGATAAAGCTGATATAAAATCCTAGGAAAAAAACAGAATGTAAGACTGTTAAAAGGAAAACTATAATAGTTTGAAGTTTATAATTGTTTATATATTTTGACAGTGTATCAAAAACATTTTTAGGAAATTACAAGTACAGGGTATAATGATACTGGTGTTAAAGTATTATGATTTTTCTAAGGACCGCACTAAAGAAGCCTTCAAACTCTCTGACTGAAACGTTGTATGCACAGCATAAAAGAGCCAAACCCTCTGGTCAGGATTCGACAGTGTACCTACACCAAAACATTCACCATATTTATTGTCATTTTGAATTGAGAAAGCTGGTGATGACCAGTGAAACGACTTCAAGAAAAATACAGCAAGTCCAGTTGCCTTGACTTATTTTTTACAGATATACCATGACCTGGATGAATGAGAACCTTCACAGACATCATTCACTAAGATTATATCACAGACAGCAGCAGTTTTAAGGTGAGGGGTTGTGAGAGTGCTTTTTAACCCTCACAGTCCATCTACCCATCGCACTCCTGGCGGCATTTGCATACTGGTTTAGGTGGGTGCAACGGTAGTCAACAGATGGCAGCCGTCTCTATGCATGAATAAGAATATGGACACTGGCACTCCAAATGCAAGTTAAATACGTCTATTTATTGACATACATGCAGCAATTTTACACTCAGTTCAATGTTTCGGGGTCTCGCAGGAACCCCTTCATCAGGTAGAATCAGTGCACTTGTTCTGCCTGTTGAAGGGGTTCCTGCGAGACCACAAAAGGTTGCACCGAGTATAGAATTGCTGCATGTACGTCAATAAATAGACGTGTGTTCTTTGCATTTGGATTGCCAGTCTCCATGTTCTAATTCATGCTTTTTAACCCGTTCATCCCCCTCTGCTGTGCATCTGGTCTCCATTCTCCATCCTTAATTTCAAGAATAATGTTTAGTCTTTTTAAATATACAGCTTTCAATAAAATAGTACATGCTAAGTTTGCCATTCTTTAAGCACATTTGGTTGTGGGTGGTAATGCTCTGTCTCCCAACTGCTCTTCTGCACTGTAATCCTATCACATGTACCCCTGGTAGAGACTAGATTTTTCCATGCCCATGTTCATTAGACTAAACATTACTCCTGAAATTATATTTACATGTTAATGATTTCAGGATATTTTAGTAATTGGTTTACATCTACTTGCCCCTGTATTTCAACATAAAGATTGAGTGCAATAACATAAAGTGCCAGCATTGCATGTTTCATTGTTGTCACCATCAGGAAGCCCACCCTAGGAAATTATATGCAGCTGAAGCTGCAGTGAGTGCATGTCAGCAGAAAAATGGCAGCAAAGAGACTGAAAGAGAACAGCAGCATTGAGTGGCAAAAGGGATGGAAAATGTGAAAACAATTATTTGATGACTGAGCATCATCCAGTTGGGGTTTAGCTATATTTTAATCACCTCCCGTCCATGGCTGTTCCTGAGCTGCCGGACGGGAGCCTTGTATGAGCGGGAGAGCGATCGGCATCTCTACAGATGCCCGATCGCTTGTAGTAGGTGTGGGTGTGCGCCCACAAAAAACCCCCACCCGCCGTTGCGCTGCTGTTCCCGAGATCGCTATCGGTCCCCAAAACATGGTACAAAATTTGTTTAGGTACAGCATTGTATGACGGAATAAACATCAGTCAAAGTACCACAGCGCTGAATACTGAAAAATGGCCTGGCCAGGAAGGGGGTTTAACACCCTGGTCTTCCAGTGGTTAAAGTACTTTTTCTGTTGCCACACAGGGACCCATTTAAATCTTTATTGCTTTTTTAAAAGCTCTTCACTGACTTTGAAGTACAGTAGCTACTGTAGTGCTAAGAACAATTGCAATAGCATATATATAAAGACTCCACAGAGTCTAATATGTTCTGTGATAATACAATTGACAATATTGGGAATATTTCCTTTCTATGTGGAGTGGAGGAAGCATTTAGTAGTATGGGAAGCCAGAAGTTCTGTCAGATAGGCGGGGGCAAAATTATTTAGGGCTTTTACAGTGAATACAAAAGGAAGTGGAAACTCGGGCAATGTCTGTTTCACTTGTTTGTTTTGAAAGAAGCATTACATAAGGTCAAATTGTCAGGGCCCAATAGGGTCCCTTCCTCAGCTTCCAGCCGCTGATCTCTCCTCCGATCACTAGACCCGGAAGTGATGTGTATTACATCACTTCCAGTGTCACTTGTTACAGTCTCCAGCTCTTAGAGCCAGGGGATGAAGCTGGGGAAGCAGATCTCTGCTTCCTCAGCTCCTTTGGGGTCCCTAGGTGACATTAGGGATCTGAAAGAGCCCTGATGTATCCATAAAGAGGACCTGTCACACCCTATCTGCTATTACATAGGGTGCTTGTTAGCTCCCTATGTTATAGCAATAAGGTTAGTGTAAAAAAAAAGTGTTTAAAAATTCAAGTAACATATAAGAAAAATAAAAAAAAATGTAAGTCCCCCGCCCCCCCACGTGCATGCACATAAACACACAAACACGTGTCGGTGTGCCTACGTGTGAAAACGGAAATTGCGCTACACATGTTACATATCGCCGCAAACGTCGGAGAACAATAATTCTAGGGCCATCAATCACTGTTAGCACTAAACTGCTGAGCGGTAAAAGCGTTTAAAGTGTTCCCTATGGGAAATTTGGGGTATTGACTTTTTTTGCAGCTTCATGGGGGAACGCAAATTTAAGGCTTGACATGTTTGGTATCTATTTACCCGACGTGATCCCGTCTTTCACATTTTATCGAAAATTTGGGTATTATTTTTAGGGATGCACCGATATATCGGCCACCGAAACATATCGGCCGAAAATGGCACTTTTGGCTAAATACCGAAAGTGCCATTTTCCTGCCGATACAGCGGCGCATCTGTGCTTTCTTTCCTCCCCGCTGGGCACTGCTCTGTGTCCCAGCGGGGCAGAGAGAAAGTGTGACAGCTGGCCGAACGCTGCGGGAGGAGAGTGCTGTGAGCAGCCGGCGTCTCTCCTCCCACACCGCTCAGCCTCCTATCACAGTCTGGCAGAGCAGTGTGTGGGCGGAGACAGCCCGCGCTGTCATAGGAGGCTGAGCTCTCCTCCCTGCACCGCTAGCTCAGCCTCCTGTGACAGCGTGTGAGAGAGGAGAGCCAATCCAAACACTTAGGGGTCTATTCACTAAGCTGCTGAAGGATCTAGCCATAGCTTCGGGTGATCCTTCGGCTAACTTCGGCCCCAGGACCTGTTCGGTTCAGTCGGTACACCGCTGCTGTACGGGCTATTCACTATAGCCCGTACAGCTCCCGAAAACCAGCCGTACAAGGAGCAGTTCACCAGCCTTCTAGCACCCTCAGCCATGCCACGTACCAGCCCCGAGAACATTTACCCCCCGCAGAGCCCGCAATCTGAGCTGGAGCCGCTCGAGCACTAACACTTCCTCCTCACACCTCGCCCACCGTCATCTCATAGTCTGGACCCTGTGTCCTCTCAATTTGGCCCCTGTGTGTCCCCTCAGTCTGGCCCATGTGTCCTCTCATTCTGGCCCTTGTGTCCCTGTGTCCCCCTTGTGTATCTCCTTATTTTGGACCCTGTAATTCTCTGGCGTTTCTCCTGTGCATCTCCAGCATGGGCGGTGGCACTCCAGTCCCTCCTCAGTGTCTGGTAGTGATTCCCCGCCCCCTTCTCAACTAACTTTCTCCCGGACTACGGTGTTCTGTGACTTCTCTCCAGTCAGGGCCGGATTAAGAGCATCACAGGCCTGGTGCTGAGGATTTTGGTGGGCCTTTTTATGGAAAAGGCGATCGTCACTGGGGCCCTCTTCCTCCTGTCCCGGCTGGGATTTGTAAGATCTCTACAGCTTGGAGTAAGTGGTGGAGTGCCAGGGCCCGGATGCAGCTGCAACCCTGATAGTTCTGCCACTGGCTCCAAGCTGTAGAGGGACTACAAATCTCAGCAATACATTATACAGCAATTCAGAATACCGGCAACTATAGGAGACTACAAATCCCAGTAATACATTACACAGCAATGCAGAATACCACCAACCATAGAGGACTACAAATTCCATCAATACATTATACAGCAATGCAGAATGGTACCAGTCTTAGGGGACTACAAATCCCAGAAGTACATTTTACAGCAATGCAGAACAATACCACCAGCTATAGAGGACTACATATCCCAGCAGTACATTATACAGCAATGCAGAATAATACCACCAGCTATAGAGAACTACTAATCTCAGCAAAACATTATACAGCAATGCAGAATACCATCCGCTATAGAGGACCACAAATCACAGCAATAATTATATAGCAAAGCAGAATAGCGATCCAGTGCGTTCCAGCAGGTAATCATGCTGGAATGCACTGGAATAGGTGTGAATGAGCCCTAAGAAAGGACAAATTATGTATGTTGACTCTTGCTGCAAAAAAATACCTGCCCATGAATGCAATGCATAAAAAATGCACATGAGGGCATGTGCAACAACAAAAAACAGATGGCACTGCAGTCACACCCCGCCCTCAGTGTGATCACCCGCTCCCGAACGCATAGCACAGTAGTGCCTGCGTTCCAGTGCAGTACGATCTGCAAAAAATGCTGCATGTGCTATTTTTGCAGATCGCACTGGACTGAACGCATACTGGGGTGAGGGACTGTGCTCCCGGGCCAGGAACACCATTAGCCGCAGAGAAGCGGGTCTCTTTCTAGTATTAGTTGGCAGCTTGCTGGGTCCTCACGACCGAGACCCCATAATTTGCCTACCCTACTGTGCTGCTTGTGTCCGCCAGTGCCGCCTGGCCCGCCCGTTTGTCACTGCCCGGCCACCCCCTTCTCTGCGCCGTTGGCTCTCACAGTTGTTATGCCTAGTGGCGGATCTAAGGAATAAAAGGCCCTGGTGCAAGATTTTATCTTGGGCCCCCCTCCAAAGGGAGCGGATCTCACTGACCCCCCAACCTTCCTCGGTGGTCTCTGCACCAGAGGAGCTTACACTCTAATGCCCCCCCCCCCCCACA